GGCGTGTTTGGACCTTTGGAGACTCATAACTTACTTTGTTTTGCACCATTTTTAATAAAGAATTAAGCCAATGTTTTTCAATGTCTTCCACACACTGATTGGTCTCAGAGTAACCAGAACTAACTGGAGGTCTTATGTTGAGAACAGACTGTCCTACAGCCACCATGCATCAGTGTGACACAGAAGATTGATATTGAATTTAATGTTTCACTTTCTGATACAAATACCAGTCAAAATCCCATCACGAAAACACTCTGGTGGTCCCTGTCTCCCACACCAACAATCAACAATCAACAATTCTTTCCTCCCCACAAAACTTTGACAGCATTCTGTCTACTAAGGCAGTCCTGCTGCTAATGCTGAGTGAGAGCTGACATAGATAAAAAAAATGATGCAATGTTTTGCTTGTTTGTCATCATCAGGGCGAGAAGTGCGTTGAGGGAGAGAAGTTCCAATTCGAGCGTAAGAACAACACGTACACCCTGATCGTGAACGACGGTCGCATCGAGGACTCCGGGAAAGTCGGGGTCGTCGCCGGACCGTACAAGGGCTCAGCCTTCCTCACTGTGGACCGTGAGTAGCCATTTTTATTCTTGCACAATATCTGTGTACTCTACATTTAGGACTGCATTTGTAACACTGCAGCAGTGACACTTAGCTGCAATGTGAAATACTGCAGCAGTGACACCTTCACTGCTGCAGTGCAAAGTAGAACCAGCCAGTATTTCCCTTAGGAAAGTGACAGACAATCAGAAAAACTTTGGCTTGTATATAGTTGTGAATAAAGAATTTTGTTACACAGTGAGTAGTCAGTAGTTTGATAAGCATCAGAGTTCATTTGTGTTGATACAGAACACACCAAAGAGGAATACAGAGAAAATTAGTTCTAGCCCTATTACAAGATTTCTCCCCAATGTTGGAGAAATGCTGAAGGCCCTAGTTGAATTGTAAGGAATACCACAGACTGCACACATCTTGGCAGACGTCTTACGACATTTCTTCTTATTCCCTTTAGCCATGCTGAAGGCAGGTTTCCTGTCCGGCATTGGGGACATCGAGGTTCCGCAGGGCGAGCCTGGAACGTTCTGCTGCGAGGTTACCCCTGACGACGCTGACGTCACCTGGTACAAGGAGGGCGTGCAGCTCGAGCAGGTAGGTCGACTGTGTGTTTGTTTGTTTGTTATTTGCCTGGAACGTTCCTCTGCGAAGTTACCCTTGACGATGCTGACGTCACCTGGTACAAGGAGGGCGTGCAGCTGGAGCAGGTGGGTCATATAAAGTCACAAATAGGCGTGGTGTCCCTGTCTTTGGTACTGAAAGTCAAGTTGTCTTGTTCAGGCCAATCATGACTTGCTATGCTCTATACTTTTGATAGAGTGTTGTCAAAAGGTTTCCCTCGACAGACTGAGGGAGCCCAGGTGCTTCTCAGGTTGTGTGTTTCGATGAATCTTGAAAAACTTTTAGCTACAGAGAAGTAGGATTTAACCTAGATGCTTATAGGATTTAATGGAAAGCTGCTAAAGCAAAACTTGAAATGCAAATCTACATTTTTAAGTGTCATGTATAAGATGAAATCATGGGTTTTATATTTGATTGACTAAAAAAGTTCTCCCTCCACCCCCCACAGGATGAGAAGTTCCAGTTCGTGAAGCACGGAAACAAGCGCATGTTGGTTGTGCGTGACTGCCAGCCTTCAGACGAGGCCATCTACGCTGTCACCTGCGGGGATGAGAAGTCTGAGGGAGGCCTCACCGTGGAAGGTAATACTTCTTAAGAAGTCTTAGCTCAACATCTTACACTCCCATGGAATCTTATCCCAGCATGTTACACTACAAAGGAGTCTTTTCTCAAATCTTACACTCCCAATGAGTCTTTTCTCAAATCTTACACTCCCAATGAGTCTTTTCTCAAATCTTACACTCCCAATGAGTCTTTTCTCAAATCTTACACTCCCAATGAGTCTTTTCTCAAATCTTACACTCCCAATGAGTCTTTTCTCAAATCTTACACTCCCAAGGAGTCTAATCTCAATATCTTTCTCCTCAAGATTCTTACTATTTTCAGATAACCGTAGAAGTTTGGAAGTAAAATTTGACTGGAAGTTAGACAAGTAAACAACTATTGTTTTCCCCATATGTATAGTTGCCATCAAGTTAGTGATAGCACTGTCATGAAAGTAGTGTGTGCAGTATTTGTTGTTGCAAAGATTTTTTATGTGTTTTTATTCTTTGTTTTTCTTCTCACCAAGTTTATGTTCTTTAGAGGTAAATTCAGTTTAACATGTTTAGAAGAAGGGTGTATAGGTCCATAGACTAACCACAAGAACTTGAGATTAAGTCCAAACTGACTTGAAACTAACACTGACATACATGTTTTTGTCTTCTCATCAAGATGTTTTCCTCAAGTTTTTCCACCCAATTATTTTCCTACCCAGTCTGTTTGCTGTAAATTTGACCCCTTTTCATGCACCTCTTCCTTGTAGCACGAGAAGATCTTAGATCCTGTCAAGTCTTTTTTGTTACCTTCGACCTTCAGCGTTGCGTGCCCCTTTTTGTTGCAAACCCACCTTTCCCACCTACCAGTTTGTGTTTAGTTTGGTCTTTCTCGAATCTGTTACGTACCTATGTGCCAACCCAAATCCATGGAAGGAGTACACACAAGGTGTATATCTTTAAAAAAATGTACGTGGTCAGAGTCTAGTTCTATCTGGCCCACTTTCATGGAGGCTGGTTGCTGTCCTCCGTGAAAATTTGAGTCCACAGGTACATCTTATACTACTTATACTATCCCAGGGCCAGTAGAGTTTGTGGTGGAGCTGGAGGATGTCCACGTGATGGAGCATCAAACCGCCACATTCTGCTGCGAACTCACGCGGGATGACGTGGAGGTGCACTGGTACAAAAATGGTATGACGTCACCGTCATTCCGCCAGTTTGCCAAGCATGGCCGCTGCCACCGTTTAAATTACAGGTTTGCGGAAGCAAAACCTGTTTTGTATTATAGTAAAACTTCTGTTTATCTGCTGACGCTTTGCACGGCACTTAGGTCCGCATTAGATAAAGTAGATGCTTACAGCTACTAGAAAAGAACTCTCAGCTGAGCTAAATGATGGTAGACATAGTGTTAAGAGCTTTGTTTGATGATGCAGAAAAGTAGCAAAAAGATAGTCGAGTGCAAAAAGAAACTGTTACATTAAATATTCTATTAAACCAGTGACAAAAAATGAATGCATTCAATATATATCGCTGGAATGCCAGAAACAATCCAAGCCTGAAACAGTAGACAAAAGCGAATTTTCAATGCATGGCAAACTCTTTTTGGTGTATTTCTATATTCGAAAGTGAGGTTAACCTTTTGGAAATTTTCTTGCAAGCCTATTTCTGCATTAAGCGCGCTGCAATGCCACTAAAGCCACGTGTGGCAACATCTTAACAACTTCAGAATCTGGTGACGTCAACCACTTCTTTCCTTATTTGGTCTGCGAATCATGGGAATTAACCTCACTTTCGAGAGCACGTACAGTCGCCGACGACAATGTTGTGTCGATGTGAACACGTGGTTTGCTTCCCCCGCCGCGCGCGCGTACAGGCCAGCGCATCGAGGCCGGCCTTCGGTACCAGATTCGGCAGGAGCGTCGTGTGGCCTCCCTGGTTCTTGTGGACGTACAAACCGAAGAACAGGGCACGCAGTTCACTGCACAGGCCGGGCCTGATGGTCCTGTATCCACCGCAACGCTGTTCGTCGAAAGTAAGAAAAAAAGACCACTAGATTAGAATTGGAGAGGTGTCTCAAACAAGATTAATCAATAGACCTGTATACATCCTGAAAAAGTCAAAAAGTCCATCTTAAACTAGAATGGTTGAGGTGATACAAAAAAAAAATGAATCGACATGTCTCTGACAAGCTTCTTCAGCAACAGACTGGTAACTTGACTCTGTAACTCTCTATTTTTTTTGTCTTTCTCTTTCTTATTTTAGTTGCCTTTCTTACCTTGTTCTATCTCAAACGGTCTGCTGAGTAGTAAACACTTATCGCTAACCTGACATTTCCACACTAATGTCCTTTCACAAGTCAAACTACACTGGTCCAGTATATATATCTGGAAAGTAACTTGCTTCAGGGAAAACAGTTCTGAATCCCACACTTTTCCATCCCTCAGTGGAAGTGATGGAAATCACCAAGCATATCGAGAACATCGAAGTGATTGAGAGACACAACGCGACGTTCGAGTGCGAACTCAACACCGAGTACGCAGACGTCACCTGGTTCAGAGATGAGAAACAGTTAGAACCTGGTGAGAGGATTCTCCTGTTCTTATGTAGCATTCTTTCAAAGAGGGTGTGTTGATAGAAACTTGTATGTAGCCCCTGTCTTTTCACTGTTAGATTGAGCCATTGCAGATGGAACAAAAAAAAGGCTATAATAGTTAGCTTGCTCCTCACAGATCATTATAATTTATAGGTTTTTGTGATTGTTTTGGACATTTTTCTTACAATTTATGGCTGCAGTAACAATGATACTCAGAATTATTCTTGACAGAAGTAACTTTATCGCAGGCGTACGGTTACTAATTAGATTTTTGTTTGCAACAATACAACAATATATGCAAGACAAGAACAAAATTGAACTGTCCCTGTCCTTGGTGCTGAAAGTCAAGTTTTATTAATCTTACTTCCAAAGAGAAGCTGGACATATTTATACATTACCCAATTCCTGTTAATGTCAATGCTTCAAATGTGCCTGCCTCAGAAAATCAATTTAAAGGTGACTATAATTCTATATAGTATGTATCACAATGGCTTCAAGAGACAGCTTAGTACTCCATTGTAAACAGATCACAATACAGTTCGAGATGGTGACACTTGTTGTTCTCGTTAGTCAGATAAGAAGGGTCGTTGTGTTTGATTATGAAATAAAGACTAAGCTTTAACTTCCAACACTTAGATTACAGAATTTGGACTTTTTGGTTTAAGTCCCAATTCTGTAATCTAAGTGTTGGAAGTTAAAGCTTAGTCTTTAATTCATAATGACTTGTACCAACAACACAGATGAACTTTCATGGCGTTGTGTTTGTTTGACATTTTTTCCAAACTTTTCAGGTGAGAAATACTCGACCAGTCAGAAGGGCTGCAGCTACTACCTGACTATCTATGACGTGACAGCAGATGACGAGGGAGAGTACACGGCAGTGGTGGCCGACAAGAGCTGCCGGGCCGAACTCTTCGTCATTCTGGAAGGTAAGCCTACACCCTTGAATTGTCCTGTCATTTGTTGAGCTTTAAAAAGTATAAAGAACTTCCCCTTACAGACCCATCCAATATGGTGGCCAGAAAGGTGACAATTGCAAAGCAATTGCCTAATGTTTACCTTCATATGTTCTAGTACTAGTAGTGGACACTACTAGAAATGTCTGACAGTAGCAATTTCCTTGTTACTTCGGCAACTGGATTGAGTATGTCTTACCATAGGAACTACCCTATCCTCATTTACATAACTGTGACACTTACGAGTCTTTGTCATGTTCAACTGGTTTCTCCAGTTCCTTCACATGTGATTAGTATCAACTTGTGCTCTCAGTTCATTTATGAGTTATCTCTGTTATTTATCCAGTAATAGATAATAGAGTTTAAATTGTCTTTGAATACTCTGAAGTAAGGACTCTTAGGACTCTGTGGTCTTTACTTTAGTGCCCATGTGAGGCTTTTAGTAATGATTTTGTTCGTGTGTTTGTATGAATAACCATAACCGTAACCATAGCCATAACCAGTTAAATAACCGTAAAAAATCTGTGTTATTCAGCATGTTTTTGTACAGGCTGCGAGGCTGTTTTTTATGAATAAACTGTTAATATTATTATAATACAATTTCCTTGTGTATTGACTTGTCTGTTATCCATTCCCAGGTGCCCTGCAGCTTGTGCGTCCCCTTGAGGATGTGCACTGCCTGGAGTGGCAGCCCAACGTGTACTTCGAGTGCGAGATCTCCGCCGCTGGGCAGCAGCCGCGATGGTTCCGTCTGGAGGAGGAGATCTTCGAAGGAGACAAGTACCGGTTTGAAGTGGACGGGAAAGTGAGTGGGCAGTTTGATACATGTCTTTTACTCTTAATCTACACATTGCAACAATGGTTGATTCGTATGTATATTTTATTTATTTATTTTATTTATTCAAGATTGCAACATGACAATACAAAGTGTGCACTAGGCAGCAAATATGCTGATAGCGTGCACACCCAACACATCGGCATTGGTGAGTTCTACTTTTTATGCACTGTTATTGATTGAGTACTTTTACCATCTTTTCCAGGTCCAACGTCTGCACTTCCACGACGTGGTTTGTGCGGATCAGGACGAGTACAGCTTCAAGATCGAGAGAATCAGCACCACAGCCAAGCTCTACGTCGAAGGTAGGACTTTGCCTCAGTCACATTTTGTAAACAATTGGTTACTAAAATGTACCTTAGTCTGTGATACAGATTTACAAATCTAGTTGTTTCAATTTGACATAATTAGTCTGTTTCTTGCCACAGTTTCAATTCAATTTCAATTCTTTATTAAGATATCAAACATAGCAGACAAACATGACATACAATGTTGCCTGAATGGTGTTGATATTTACAAGATAGAATGTAAAAAAAATATTTACAACTATAAAAACCGTACAGTAGGTGTACAACCCAGATATCTAACAAGGTCCATTAACTTGTGCCAGACTCTATCTGTACAGTCCGGTTATAGAGTTTCATTAACTCTTTCACTTTGGCACCAATCCTTGACAGATTAGAAAGTTTGATTAGAAAAATTTTATAAGCCTAGTTGTTTATGACTGACACAATTCTACAGTAGCCCCAAAACTGATAAATGTTGTTTTTTTTCTAAGCATAGTTTAATACAATTCTCTCCACAGTAAACCATGCTCAGACTTTTATATTTACCGTATGTTGTCTTACTGCATGTAACAATGTCTTGTGTAATTTTGCTGGGCCCCCTTGGAAAACAGCTAATGTAAGCTAAATGGGGTTACCCAGCTGTCTTAAGATGAAATAAATAAATAATGCTACAGGAACATCACACTTTGCCACCTCTGTAATTTCACTAACTCTATCCCCTCCCTTCACAGCCCGAGAGATCCACTTCGACAGCCCGATCTCTGACCTTGAGCGTCTGGCGGGCGAGCCAGCTCACTTCGAGTTTGAGCTGGACCAGACAGACGTGGAGACGCGCTGGTTCAAGGAGGAAACTCAGATCACCATGAGCCCCAAGTACAAGATGATCGACGAACAGGTGAAGAAAACTTTATTATGGATGAATTGTCCAAGCATAACATGTCATCTACAAACTACTGTAACTGAAAAACTCTGTAAATTTGTCCACACGTTTTAAGATTACCATGAGCCCCAAATACAAGATGATTGACGAACAGGTGAGGACGGCTTTACATAGTTCATGTCTTTATTTTCATACTTATACTTGGACTTGGGGGCTATAGTGTCTTCCCACACATGTACATGAGGCAGTCAGAGTGTTGCAGCAAGTTTGGTCAACATCCGGTCTCTCTACATCCTTCCAGTTCTGGTTTATTGTTTTCAGGTCCTTCTAGAATGTTTGTTTTTATTTGCATATCTGTTTTTATTTGCATATCTGAAAGACAATTGTAAGGGTACAGACAAATACTGTAATGGTAAAATGTAAACAACTGTCTGATCTACAGAGCTATCTGATGTCTCTGAATGAGATAGTATGTACATGGCAGAAACACAGTCAAGAGAAACCAAATCAAATTGACTTTTAACAGAGTATACTAAATACAGGATAACTTTTCAAACTGCTGACTTTCTATTATGAGTACTACTTAATCTACTTTGTCTTCTCCCTCCTTTGCCATCGTCAGACCAAGCACAAGCTTGAGATTCTGGACTGCCAGCCCGATGATGCAGCCCTGTACAAGGTAAAGGCAGGACCGCACACCTCCGAGGCACATCTCTGGGTCAAAAGTAAGTACACACAGGCATCTCTTCTGCATGTGATACCGGTGTCAATTTTTCTCTTTACAGGATCATTACACACTCTTGTTTCGCAATTGCAAGTGAGTTCTCTGTGTCGTACACTGATAAATATACCGCTTTGACTATGTGTACACAAGTATTACTTGTGGTTGGAAGTTAGGTTAAACATTGCTGTGTGCATGTCGTTGGACAGTCTTCGACATGGTAAACCGCTGGAAGTACATATTTGTATACTATGCATGGGACGCAGGTACCCCAGAGCATGTGTTATCCTAAACCCTGTGTGAGGCTGTGACCTTCTGAGAGAATTCTATGCTTTTATGCATGGGAAATGTCTCGCCCAAACATGTGCGAAATTCTGCACGTCACAGGTACAGTGGCCCATAAACACATTAAGTAAATCTGCAGCCTTCTGAGAGATGGTACGAGGGCATATAAGCAATAATGGTGTCTTCATGGGGAATTCTGTGAATGGAAAAATGTCTTCACGAATACCTCTCTGCATGGGTCAATGGTAAAGGCAGGTACAGTGGCCCATAACCACATTGTGACTCTGCAGCCTTCTAAGAGAAAGGCTAAATTTACAGCTTTACAAGGAAAGCAATAATGTTGGTTTCCTTGGGGACTTGTATGCATGGTAAAGCTGTGCATGGGACAAAGGTACATCATAAGTACTGTGGCCCACAACTACATTTGTGACTCTGTAGCCTTGCAAGAGAAGTTCGCCATGAAATGATTCTCTGAGTCTTCTATGCAGCAGCATGGGAAAATACTTTGCCTACAGATGTATGATATTCTGCATGAATGGATCGAGGCTAAAAGCACATCGAAAGTACGGTGGCCCATAACTACATTTGTGACTTCGCAGCCTTCCAAGAGAAGGTCGCCATGAAGAGATTGTCAATGAGTCTTCTATGCAACAGCATGGGAAAATGCCTATAGATGTATGATATTCTGCATGAATGGATCAAGGGTAAAAGCACATCACAGGTACGGTGGCCCATAACCACATTTGTGACTCCGCAGCCTTCCAAGAGAAGGTCGCCATGAAGGGCGGGGACGCGACGTTGGACGTGCTGTTCCCGCACGAGGCTGACGACGACGTTCGCTGGTTCATGCTCCACCCCGTCGACGAGGAGACCATTTCCGCCATCGACGAGATCGGCGTGGAGGCCATTCCCGGCGCCACGCTCGCCAAGGAGATGCCACGCGACGTCGAGAGCCCCGTGGACGTAGCGGCCGCTCCGCCTCTCCCCGACGACGCGATTCTAACCCCCGAGGGCGCCATCATCATCCCCGACAAGGGGCTGCGGATGTCGCCGATCGCCGAGAGCGACAAGTACACCTTCCTGAAGGAGGGACGTCGCCAGTCGTTGATTATTCATGACGCAGACGATGATGACAAGCAGGCCTACACGGCTAAGTCCCAGGGAGTGGAGGTTGTGACAGATCTGAAGCTCACAGGTTAGTGCGGGATTGGGAGGGTCTCCTACGCGGAGGCTCTCTTACAACCCCCCCACCTGGTAGTAGGACAAGGTTTGGCTCAGGTTCTGCCTTCGTGGCAAGTCCTGAGACCTTTTTTTGCACAGGGGGATGTCCCTGTACAGTACCCCACACCGTGATGTCTTCTGATCCTCTCTCCTACGTTCTTCATGATTCCTTTGCCCTGGAAGACAAGGAAACCGTCTGTCGGTAGATCTTCTGTTACGGAAATCCAGCCTTGACAGACGGTATTCCCTACAAGTCTTACTGCAAAGACGTGCGATCTTTACACGCTTTTTCTATTCAGCAGCTTCTTTCCTCTTCCTTTCCTTCATCTCTTTTTCTCTCCATCAGTGCCAACCCGAGAGGTTGCTCCTATCCTATCCTCTACACTACACAGCTTCTTCCTTTCCCGATCCCCCACCTTGTTTTTTCCTATGGCGTCTGCTGCGACGCTCCTCTTTTCCTCTACTGTCCTTTTCTCTCCATCCTTATGATCTCCCTAGCTTCTTCCTTCTTTCCTCTTTCCTCCTTCATGGCATCTATGGCACTTAGCTCAGAGATGCTCTTTCTTTTCTCTTCTCTCCTCTATATCCTTATCCATTGCTGAAAACCCACAGTGCTTATTACCTTTCCCGATACCCTTTCATTCTTCCAACTGCGTCTAAATGAGACGCTCTTGTCCTCTCCTCGTCATTCCTATCATCCATTGCTTGGAACCCACAGTTGCTTTTGGGTGAATGCTGGTCCTTTGCACCTTGCCACCCAACCATGCACCTTCCCATCCATATGCATGGGATTGAGATACCCTCTGCTATCCCAAGTCCACCCTACACCATCTTTTGCACAAAGGACTGGCTTTTCTGTGATCCAGTTCTTCTACATTTCCATGCCAATCCCTCTGCTTCCCCACGTGATTCCATAAGACCAGTGCATCTGCAAAACATCTCCAGTGTATGGAGACGGTGCATGATGCACTGGCACTTTGTCCGTTGTGTCATTGCCATCCCTTCTGCCATTAGAACCATCATACAGCATCTTTCCATCCGATTGCTACTGTGTTCCCTACCACAGTCACATTATCATCATCCATCCACCCTTTATTGTTGCAAAGCTACACAGTGCTTTGCCTCCAGCTTGTTGTTACTGCCTTCCATACCACAGTTACGTTATCATTCATCCATCATTTCTTGTTGCAAAGTTACACATAGCTTTGCTGACGACAAACAGTTCGCCACATCTTGACATCAACGATCGCTACATTGTATCTGTCAACCTCTTGTGTCATCATCCTTCCTTCCAACGGATACAAACGACCACCTGTTAACTTGTGTTACACAATGCCATACATGTTTAAGTCTACCACTTTTCATTAGCATGATATGTGTTTAATAGTTAATGTAAAACTAGAAGTGTTCTCGTTATATAGAGTAGCTGGCCATTTAACAATTATCATATATAATAGTTTATCATTTCAGAAAGCATATTTAAGAATGAAATTCATAACTTTCTATCTCCTAGGAGTCATAGTCATCAGCAAACTAGACTTTTTTCATATATCGCATTTAATGTAATGGCGTCCTTGCTGCCACCATATTCATTTCAATGCCTGACAACATTGAACTTATTCGGTATCAATAACCACTAAAAGTCCTACAGAAATAGTTCTATAGCTGCACGATTACTGATGAAGGTTCTGACACGTCTCCGGTTGGTGTTTCCCTGTGATGACGTACAGAGAGAACCCAGCTTCTGGTCGGTCCAGAGAACCAGGAGGTTCCCTTCCACACAAAGTGCGTCTTCGAGTGCGAGATCAACAACGAGACCGAGGACGTGCTCTGGCTGAAGTACGAACAGGAGCTGCCGAAAATACCCAAATATTCCTATGAAAAGGACGGGTTTAAGCGGAGGCTCATCATTAAAGACTGTGTAGAAGATGATGAGGACGATTACCAAGTCGTAGCCGGGGAGGACAAGGCTGAAGCCTGGCTCCTTGTCATCGGTATGATGCAAAGCTAGTGTAGCAGGAAAAAACGCTTTGCCAGCAGACCAAAAGCAAACCTGCTGCTTAGAAATCGTGGCTAGTTGATGAGAGAAGCTTTGGCTTACTGCTTTCAGGCCTTCTTGGAAGTTACATGTAGGACAAACACCTCGGGAATGACAAAACAAGGTTTGGCAGGAACAAAAAACAAAATGCTTCGCCAGCATACCAAAGCAAATCTGCTAAATGTGGAATTAGAAACGCGAATGAGAGAAGCTTTGGCTGGTTGCTTTCTGGCTACCTTAGGTGGAAGTTAGTTCTACACCAAGAACGAGTTATGCAGGAAAATGCTTTGCCAGCATATCAAAGCAAGCCTGAACGTGAGCTTAACAACGCGAATAGCCAGTGAGAGATAGACGCTTTGGCTTGTTGCTTTCAGATATCTTTTGTGAAAGTTCCACGACGAGGATGAGAAAGGACTTCGGTTCGGCTTTTTTGGCTGCTGAAGACTCGATTAGTCTCTCGATTAGTCTCTGCAACAAGATGAAAGAGAGAATAGTGTGCTGTTAGTAGATAGACCTGCACATCTCTTGAACAGGAGAGAAATCTTTTTCTAAACCAGTTGCTTTCTTGCTGACACCAGAAGTAGACCTGTGACACCATCGCTTTGCTTCTGTGCTACAAGCAAACACCAATGCCAGCTTCATAGTGCTTCACAAGGCACAGTAAAAAGGAAGCTTTCATTACTATGCAAAAGTACTGGTAGATAATATAAAGGCATATCTTGCATATATGGTAAACTGACTGGACTTGTTTGACGTTCCCAGGGTCTCCGGAAGTCTTCCTGCGGCCGCTACAGGACCAGGAGATTCTGGAGTCTGAAGAAGCCGTGTTTGAGTGTGAGATCTCTCTGGCTAAGCGTGAGGTAAGCTTCATGGCAGAATTTACGTGTAAGATGTTACTGCAACTTGAGGAATTCTTTTAAATTGGTATTACATGATTGTGCAGTGGTGTACATGTGTGCTCTTTGTAAGGACCAGGTGCATACTCTGCATGCATTGATGGTTCACTGAATTCAACAAAGCGCTTTGTTTTCTCATTATCATGACTTGCTTTTTTTTTGTTTTTTCTGTTCTTTTCCTGTTTTTTTCATACATTGAAGCAATTATCAAGTTGTGTCCACTAGTTATCACTTGAAAGAAAACAGATACAGAACGTAATAACAGAAAGGCAATTTGATGTCTTAAAAAACACATCAGACTCTGTTTCAGCTCAGGAAATGACGCCATGCCAATCCCCATTTAAGCAGATTTAAAGACGTAACAGAGGAAAGACAACTCAATGTCTTGAAAGAAAAAAAACATGTCAGACCTCCTTGTTTCAGGAAATGACGCCATGCCCTTTTGGTTTTCAACTTTTATTGAGAAAGGGACTCCCGGGCCAGGTTAGCCCAAATTGCACCCTACATACATTTGTACAATATGCATTTAATTTATAAAAATTACAGAGACACTATAAAACCTAGTACATCATCCGGTACACATTAAAAGTCAAGATCGTATTAAATTTTGTTTCCCCAGGTCACATGGTACCGGGAAGACCAACAGATCTTCCCTGGAGACAAGTACGAGATGATCACCGAGCACAAGGTCAGGCGTCTCAAGGTCAAGGACGGCAGACTCGCCGACGAGGGAGAGTACTCCTGCATCTTCGGCGACCAGAAGACAACCGCAAACCTCTACGTCAAAGGTAGGTGTCTTAAGGGCTAAGACCTACCGCTAAGTCACTATAACAACCATTTGACTGAATGTATGTTCTTAACTCTAAATGATCTTGTCTTACAACTTGTTTATTCCTATGTATTCCTAACTTCAATCTGAACTCACGAATCTATATTCTTATGTATTCTAAACTACATTTACAAACTCACTTTGAACTAGACTTATGTTTTTTTATTATTACGTATTCTTGAAGTTCTTAACTTGAATCTTTACTTACGCTAATTTGTCTCAATAAAAAAAATTACTATTCACTGTTCTCACTGTTCTCAATACTGTAATGTGCAGTAGTTAACACAGAATGACGACAAATTTTGCTTAAACCTTCACTATACTTAAATGTCCGGATTATGATTTTAAATGTGCAAGTACGAAGATGTCTGGCCCATCATCATTCTGTAGAACTATCTGCACTTTTCTCTTTGTTCTAACGCTGTCTCTAACTCACGCTGTTTTAACCTTACTTCCGCCTAGTGCCAGGAGCCGTGCGTCCAGGTAAATCTCTCTACTAAAAACTGCATCTTACAGATCAATAATATCTATTTGACAACAACTATACCAAACAACGTATTGCATCTACTGCTACATAACAACAAACATACTTACTAAACTAATGTACCTTACAAAAGACTATTATGTAGTAATACTGTAACAGTTACACTCTTCAGAAGAAATTAACGTATATGGATTTCCAACATTTTGCAACATATCTAGTAAGTCTCATACTTGCTCTCTTCTTAATGTTAATACAACAGAGGGAAAACTAGCAGTCCTAGAAAGTACTAACACTTAAGGTTGATTCTTAACACTTCACTTTCTTGTGTGATACTTTGGATGCCATCTGATAATTTGTAGACTTGTTATCATTTTGTGTCTTCTTCTGCACCACTTTCTGTATATCTTTCTCTTTCCAACCATCTCTTTGTCTAACAAATCATGTTTATGAGATGTGGCAAGCGCAGCGCAAGAGGAGGGATATGCAGCGCGTATCTATACACAGATAGCGCGAAAATACAAAAGTACTGCGAATTCCCTCTCATCTTTCTCTCATTGCCCTGATCTAACCCCGTCCCTTCTTGTAACAGCTGTGGTTCTAGAGCCAGAAGCAGCTGAAGAAATACTTGAAGGTATCACTCACACAATCTTACCTGTTTCCTTGTACCCCTTCCTCCATTTCCTACATATGTAGTGATGCAACATTTTGAGATGTAACATCAACAGTTTACTGTAATAGCTGAGAAGTAACACTGATAGTAAAGATCTTGATGACTAGAACGTACATCTTAAGGTTTGCATTTCTTGGAGATCAATGATGTCCATTTGTCACCACCAAGCCCCCTCCTCAAATATGTCCAAAAAATCCCCCATTATCTCCTCAAAGAGGTCACTCCCCTTCTCATCTTCATCCAATCATCTTGTACACTGAGCGCCATGCCTACATAGACCCATTTTAAGCACATGCAGGGAGTGCAGCTTTTAGGTAGGACAGAACGCATTGGAGTCACATATATACTGTGATAGCCTAGCAACAATGCTTCTAGGAACAAGCTTAGACTGGAGTCCAAAATTCTACATCTGACGGGCACTCTTCAGTCGTGGCTCATTGCTGCTGCATGCTGGATCCGACAGACCCTTCCGGGAAGGTGGTAGATGGTTCCAGGAAGATGGCAACGTAGTAGGATGCAGTCACTGGCTTAGCATTAACAAAGGCAACGCATACATATAGGGCGGCGGTAGCAACAATCTCAGTCTTCAGAAAGCTGTGAATAGAAACTGCTGTTACAGCCAAGCACCTAAGCCAACCGCTTTAAGCTTGCACTAACGCTCTGCTTTGCTATGCTGTGCTTCCTGTAGACACAGTGCAGGATGCTGCCAGGAAAAGGCGCATGCACGCCTACAGTGGCGACGAAGACCCTTTCCTTACAAGCATAGATGGTTCGAAGAAGAAGAGACTCGAAGCTTGGCTAGGGGAAGACGAACCCTTCCTGTTAGGCTTAGAAGATCCCGCAGAAAAACATCGGCAGTTTGGGAGAATGGGAGGCGTTGAAGAGGAAGAAGGTAATTTCTGCCCCGCCATCCCTCAGTACCTGAACCAATTTGGCCCTCCCCAATCTGATTGGCCCTTCCCAGTTCCAACTGGCCCACCCTGAGTTCTGGCCCACCTTGTTCTATCTAGCCCACCCTGATGTGATCCACCCCAATGCATTTGGCCCACCCCAATGTATCTGGCCTACCCCAATGTATCTGGCCTACCCCAATCCATTTTGCCCACTCCAATGTATTTGGCCCACCCTAATGTATTTGGCCCACCCCAATGTATTTGGCCTACCCCAATCCATTTTGCCTACTCCAATGTATATGTCAAACCTAGCTCGATCTATTTGGCCCACCCCAATTCATCCAACTATCTCTCTTTCGTACCCAGACATCTCCAAGAGCCCCTGTAACTTGTACTAATGTTGGTTTTATTTCTCTCCTTTCCTGCGATCTCTCTCCACACCTTTTAACCCAGTGGAAGAGGCGCCTCCAGTAAAAGGTATTCTACTCTGTGCTGACTATACGTCTCTGTCCGGCTTAACTAATGCCAGCTTCTGCCCCTGTCTTCCTTATTTGTTGAAGCCCACTCAATCCAAAGTACTTAAAATCCGTCCCAACCACCCTTTTTCCTCCAACTTATTTTCCGGACCCAATTCTTGATCTTTCTCTATCCCTTTCTTTGACCGACAGTAGCAACCAATACAACTAGACCCTCCATAGGACCCCTATGTAACCCCCTTATGTTTTCTTATAGGTATTTTTAAGAGAATCGACCACAAAGACCGACAGACTGCTGCAACTCACAGTGTGCACTTGACCAAAGACGACCTTACAGTAGATTCACGAAAGGGCTGCACTCCTCTCTAGCTAAAGAAAAGTGCTGAAGACAAACTTGTCTCTTACGACAATCTGTACATCAAAAAATCATCTAATAATATATAATATAATTATGATAATAAGTGATTTATCAGCACAAGGTCTTGAGAGTGGAGTACTGCCTTGTCATGTAACATTAAGAAGAAAACCTTTCACGTGTTTTTCTGACGCTGTCAGAATAAGCCTAACTTGTAATCCGCGCGGCGCAAAACGACATAACTCCTCACAAGCGCAGCGTAACCTTGTGTTATACTGTCTCACCTACAGGATTTTCCGACGACGAACTTGCTCGACTGAGAGCCTTAGGTACCTAGTCTTAATCACTGATACAACCTTACTGTCCCACTGCTTAGACTATAGTTATTAAGCGACTGTTGGCATGGCTTTTCCTGACGCTTGGCTTTCCCTTTTGCTCTAGTCTTTGGAACCTGATGCTATAAGCTATAATTATGAAGTATATACCAAGCATCCCTTTCCAATTTGTTGATTTTTGCAACGGTAGCACTAAGACTAGTACAACGTCAACGTTTTTTTACTAAAGGATGGCTTGCCTACGTGTTCCCGCTTATATAGGACAGCATGATGCTATCCCTTCCAAATCAAGCTTCTATCCTCGCTATTTTGTCCAAGCTCTGTAGACACGTTTGTGATAGGGCCCCCCTGGCGATCTCTCTCGGTATTGCGTGCTTCATTCCCTGTGGTTGAAGACACGTCCCCTGCTTTCTTCAGCGAATGGCAGACTGTCCCCAGTACCAACCCCCTTCCCCCTGGCAATCTCTCGTCACTGGTATTTTGTTCATCACTCCCTTTCCTTCCCTGTCACTGTGGTTGGAAACACCTCCCCCTGGTTTAGTACATGCAGCCAATGGCAGAATGGCAGACAGTTCTGCAAATCACACACCTCCCACCCCACCCCGTGCATGTGACTGTGCTTTCTCACTCAGCATTTCAGACTCTTGACTGTGACTCTTGTTAACCCACACCATCTCCGTCGTTTTAACCACTTTAAGGCCTGACGGATGAGGAGATCGAGGCCCTTCGTCGGGCCGGACTCAGTCCTGACGACATTGCCGCCCTCGCGGCCAGAGGTGATTAACCGTAACAGTAATCATAACTGCACGCTGAAATAACTGTAAAACCAACCAACAAACAAACTGAATGTATTACCGGTACCAAAGTGACTAGTAGCAGATGTTCTCGTTGCAAACGAGAGAACTTAACAGTAATCAGAACTGCACTATGAAATAACTATAAAACAAACAAGCAAACAACCTGAATGTACATGTATCTCTAACTCCTACAACGTTGCTTGCTATACAACAGATACAACGTTAAATAGAAATTCTTATTAATAGATAGATTGCAAATACTTTGACAGCTTGCTAGACACAGCAATGTAGAATATATCATAGTTCAGCAACTTTCAACAAATGGTTTTCCAATAGAAGATTTCAACCTTACCATATACAGAAGATGCCTTTTGAGATTTGTTCGGTTGCTCGATCACAGCATGAAGATATCTGAGCATGAATACCCCCTCGAGCTCCCAAAAAGTTCCCTACTTGACGAATTGCTTTACCACCAACCCCCACATAGGTCTAACACCGGAGCAAATGGCAGCTCTCGCTGCTAGAGGTATTTGAGATTTTTACGCCGTTATTTTCTCTCCATTTTTTGTTAAGATTTGTAAATTTGTTCTCCATGACATCATCTGCTTTCATCATGCTTTAGACGTCACAGACGTGCTTATTATCATAAATTTGCAGCAGAATTGCCTCCATGATGTCACCACGCTGTCCCCTTGCCTCCAGCCATATTGCTACATCCATGCTGTCCGCCTTAAGTGACAATAAGCTTTGACGACATAGAACCTGCAAACGAACAACTAGTACTAGTCTGCTGTATAATGTTGCAATTCTGCTAAATCCTGCATGGCAATGCGCTTTTGCTTACCAACATCACATGCTTTCCATTTCATCCACGCAAAAACCATCAACAACACCAAAGGACATTTTTTTGATAATCATGATACATGAAGATGCATGAGATAACCACTAAGAAACCATAAAAACAATAATTTTACATTTTTCATATTTTTCTTCCTACAATTAATACCCTCTACCCTGATCCTTGTCACCTCTGGCTCATCTCAACAACAACAACAATAATAATAATATGTACTTCAACAGAATATCTTCTTTACTAGGTTCACTTCGTCTTTTCTTCTTCCACTTTTTCCTCTTCTCTTCTTTTCTCTACGTGCTTTGCTAAGTGTAGGAAAGCTTTCTCTCTCCTCGCGAGTAGAGACAGTTTTTCTGGGCTTGCTTTGTTGTCTTAACCATGTCTCACGCCTGGTCTCTACTCCTAACCGGTGACTAGGCCTCTCACCCGAGGAGCTAGCTGCTCTCCGACGTGGAGGTATACATACGACGCTTGTTTACGTACAAGAAAATAGTGCAGATTTACCAGAAAAAATGCAAAAATCAGTTACTTAATTTTCAATACAATATATTCCGGTCAAAAGGTAATATTATCCAAGAAAATCTGAACAGAAGAACATTCTTGTCATGATTTGAAAATATTCTGGTCTTTGAATCTGCAGTATTAATGTCATTCAATCCATAACACAAAAAGTAGCCATTCTGTTATATGCAAAAACTAACAACTGTCTTAATTGTAATGTCTATTTTAAGCTCATAATCTGTGTTGTCTCTCGCATTGCTTGCCATGTACGTTTTGTAACTAGTAGTATATTCATTTTGATTAGCCTAATGTTCTAGAATCATTGACATACTGTAACGTATAAATTTACTACTACTTTGACATTGAAATCGTGTAATGTGTTTCTCAATTTTGGTGTAGCCACCAAGTAATATGCATATTCATCAACAATGTAACCAAGTGATATATATCTCTTAGACTACTAAGCACAAACAAACAAAAATTAGCAGATAATACCACTTATATATAACAGACAGTTGACACAGCAACGAGAGGTGTCTTTTTCAGAAGAGCAGACTTCAATTCAATGTTGAGGGGAACATTAAACTATTACTAATGTTTACTAATACATGTACGTCCTCTCTCTCTTCCATGTTTACTTCTTGCAGAGCTGCCAGCGGATCTTGAAGCAGGTATGTACATGACATGTAACATAATTTGTTTATTATACTTTTTAATAAGCAATAGGTATTTGGAAGATGGTATTGATGGAAAGGTAATGTAGCGCTACAATACACTTACCGGGTTCGAAAGAGTAACCTCTGGACTTAACGTAAAGCCTCTAACTGTATGATTGGGTTTACAAGGAACTGACCAACAGCTCATCAACTCCTTCAACTTACAAAACTAGAAACTTTAGGACTTTGGTGTACTAGTGATGTGCCAAATGTTCCATCGTTATGATGATAACATAGGGTATAGTTTTAGTGGTTAATCCCAGATATCTTCTAATACTAAACAACTACGCTGTCTTAATACCAGTAGCAGCGCTGTTTTCCACTATCACTAGACGTACATGTACTTACAAAAAAGTGTAGTCTGTATGGTTGGTATTACAAAATGTACTCTAACCTATAACTCTACTGTAAAATGTTCCAACGTTATGATGATAACATAGGGATAGTTTTAGTCCTTAATACCTTCTAATTCCAAACAACTACATTGTATTTATACCAGTAACCGTGTTCCACTAGATATACTTACAACACCTACTGGGCTGTGTAGAGAGTTGTCCGGTAGGTTTGCTGTACTTAATCTGACTAATGTGTTCAAACAGCCCTCGCTCCTGCCGAGGCAGTCTCCGTTCCTGAGATGGGAGCTAAACCTGAAGGTACTGACAAACTCATTCCTACTTTAACAAAACAAACAAACAAACAAGCAAACAACAATGAAAGGGAGAAGGTATCAGTCAGAACATCTTCTATTGTATTCAGAACCATGCCTGAACAACTTCAACTCAACAAAGAATCCTTATGACTGCAACCTTCCCTCTTTCTTTTCCATATTGATATTTAACATTTCCAAGGTTGGTACAGAAGTGTGAAACTGAATGAGTGGTGAGAGTGATGATTGAAACTAACAATAACCCATCATGTAAATTAAATTAGGTCTATTCATTTATGTATCATTCCACCAGAATGACAGTGTAAGAATTTTGATACACAGCAAGCAACGATGAACAGACATGATGAACAGACACAAACTCAGCACATGGTTTCCAAGCATAGTTTAGTTTCTAGATAATGTATAGGTGGTCAATGAGGAGAACGTGTTGCCTACATTTCTTCACAACCAGCCTCCGCACAGTGGGTTCCCCAAGACTACTTGGAAAGTGAAAGTGAACCTCTCCCTGAGCATGACTTTCACTGGGCCATTCTGGAGACTTTCTCCGAAGAAACCCGCTTCGAAGGTACCGCGTATAGTCCTGCGTGCAACATCTGCCTTATTTCCCTTAAGTCCCTTTATTATCATTTTTGCTGGACCATCAGGACTTTGGTAACAGGTTCACCCCCCTCCCCATCTTACCATTATATAGAAATACACTTCGAGACAGTTCAAATGGCAGAAGCGTCCATACAAACATCCCCGCGCACTGTCGCCACGGACGGCTTCAGTCAGACCAGTCCCTCAGAGGATGGGACTCTTTTTCCTGAACCGCCCTCCCCTCTTACAGAAGGTACTAACAGCTCCTGAACACACTGATTTCTCTCATTTTCTTTCTGTCTTCATTGAACGTATCTTATAATGCCTTACTAACTTGCTACTGCACTTTTAACAGTTGAGACACAAACCAGTCCTATGGCAGGAACACCAGATGCTTTTCCGAGCCCACCAGGTACTAACAGTACTACACTCACACCAGCAATGTTTAATCTGTTGAACACACTGATTTTTCTCATTGCCGTTTTCTTTCTGTCTTAAACCTATTGCTTAGTTATTGCCTTACTAACTTGCTACTGCATTTTTAGTAGTTGATACACAAACCAGCCCTATGGCAGGAACACCAGATGTCCATCCAAGTCCACCAGGTACTAACAGAAGAATCCTATCATCACTAATACTGCTACTCATGCAGCTTTCCTGTCTTATTAACGCTCCTTTGCTTTCCACTTTGCTTTGCTTTAACATCTCTCTGTATAACTGCAGCACTCAGAGCGGCATTACCTGCAAAACCTGCAAAACGTCAAGGGCCGCTGCCCATCAAACATGAAATGGAAGGTAGTATTTGGTCCCACAGTACTGCACGCTCTCTTTACAATCTACTTTACAATTGCAAACAAAACTGCAAGGTTCTTTCTACTCAGGGATTGAATAGGATTGCATACTTTTCCTTGAATCTTTAGATGTTAGCAAGAAATCTACTTCAGTCATTGTTTTGACTTCAGTCAAGACTTCCTTGTAGGAAATTAATTAGAAGAAAAATGCTTTAACAGCATGTCTTCTTATTATAGCCATCATTCTAAAGCCCATCCCAAGGCCTGCCAAAAGCCCTGCAGCCTCTCCTGTACCACCTAAAGCACCAAAGGAGAAGCGCCAAGGAGCCTTGGATCCGTTTCTAACTTCTCTAGAAGAGCCACGACAAAGAAGGCTCAACAATCTTGGTAATTTTCCTGTAAATGTGTCCCAAATTCCTGGAAATCTATCCACATGATCCCAGTGTACAAGTCGTAGGCATACTTGATGTTCCTAGGCTCCTGACAGTTCACGTTTGTCTACTTGTTCAGTTTATATCCCGTGCATCGTCTACAGAACTCTTCCCCTCTTGACTTATGTAACCCACACGTTCTTTCGGCCTTTTTCTTGGAAACATTTCTTTCACCACCCTGACTTTCAAACGCTATCGCTGCTGCTTTCTTAACTAAACCTCCATTACCTGACGTTTCTCTCACCTGTGCACACCTGTCCACGTGACCAGACGCAGGTGGCATAGACTGGCCCAGGCTGAAACCTGTCCGGCGTAACCGTGACACCAAATCACCTGCACTCTCACCTGCGCGAGGAGGCATACCTCCCACTAAATCACCTGTTCCAGGTACTAACCGCACTGCACTAACCTCTTAGTCATAACACAATGATTTTAAAGATACTACACACCAGCTTCTGTATTAAGTAAGCCAACTGTCAACATTCACTATAGAGGCTTGCTGTCACTTAAGTGTATAAGTTTGTTACGAAACGTGCAGATTTGGGGTTCATCTCAAGCCATTGATGAATTAAAGCTTTTCTTTCAAACCCATAACGCTTTTGCTTAGTAAAAGAACTACCACTTGAAAATAAACGTTTTTTTTCTTTTCTTTGCTTTGCTTGTGGTTGTTTCTGTATCTGTAAAACTGTAAAACCCCTAGCAGTCCTCCTGAAGCCCGTCCCCAAACCCCCGAAGCCCTCCCCTGTGCCCAGCCCCAGACAGACCCCTGTCCTAGCGTCCTTAGATGACCCCCTCAGGAAGCGGAGGGTAGCCATGGAGGATAAACCGGACCCTTTTCTGTCCAGCCTGGAGGAACCAAGGAGGAGACGACAGGGCAGACTTGGTAACCATCGATGTTTTGAACAACCCAAGCCCTCCCCAGTCTACCTACGTTCCTATTGCCACTACCTAGGATGTCCCAAATACCCCATCTACATCCCTACCACCAGTTTCCTACGGTGTCCCAAATACCCCATGTACACCCCTGCTAGGCTGTCCCAAATGCTCCCATATGAATCCCAACCTGTCCAACACTTTCCTAGGATGTCCCTGATACTCCCTTGTAGACCCTTACCACAATTCTATTCTTAGGATGCCACCAAATACCCCAATGTACATCCTCACCACCACATTCCCAGCAGAGATTCGGTAGCCTTGTTTCCCCAACAGTCCAAAGTTTTCCTTCCTTTCCCACCTATACACCCTACCCTTCATACCCAGAAGCTGATTGCCTCCAGCTTTCTTTGCCATTTCTACCATTGCTGTATCTGTTTAAGTAATTGTGCTTCATCCCCATTTGCTGCGGTCAGCCTCAGGAGGCGAGGAGTGGCCCAAACTCAAGCCGATCCCACGTAGAAATAAAGGAGGCGACAAATCACCTGTGCAAAGAGACCTCTCACCTGTACAAAGGGAGCTCTCACCTGTACTGAGGAAACCCAAATCACCTGTACAGACTCCCCGTCGCTCTCCTGTGCAAGGAGGGCCGTTGTCTCATTTATCTCCACAAGGTACTCACAGTCCAGGGTCCACACTCTGCAACAGATTTTGTGTTGATTGCAATATGCTCCTCAATGATAGCTTTGGAGGAGTATACTAGCTGGAAGATGGTTTATTTTTCCTAAAAGTACACCCACCCACCTTGCAGCTTTCTACCCATCTTTGTTGGCCTACTTATTGTGTCATTCAGCTTCCTTATATTATTATGTTCAAGTTGAAGGATCATTCGTCAGATTTCAGTCTCGCGGGAATCTCAGATCTCATTGTTATACTTATTTGTCAAACTAATACAAGAACATGCTAACTGGATATTCCCTCTAACAGTGCCAGTGCAGAGGAAAATCTCCCCGTTTATCCAAGGTACAAGTTAACCCAGTTCTATCATCGCTTCCACACCTACACATCTCTTTTCATCCTTTTATTCATCATTTTTTCCTTCTACTCCTTCCATCTCTTCCTGTCCGCCATCCCTTTTCCCATTTTATACCTTCTTATCATTACTTTTGCTCACTAACTACCTCTCCATGCTCGCATAGTCCAAGAACCTGATTCAGAATCCGAGGACGAGCTTGACAGAGAAATCGCTGAGCTCACAGTATTTGCACAAACAGGTAATGCTTGAGCTCCATCATCTCTATTGCCTTCTCTATAATCTTCCTGCTATATTTTCTTCTTAACATCATCCATTTTCCTCACTTAACATGACTCCCTTCCACAGTCTTTAAGGAGGCAAAAGTGACGGTGTCCTTGTCAAGAAGTCCCAGCCCTCGCCCTGAAGGTTCATACATTTTTGCTTTCTTTCATCACACCAATCTTTCTTTCCCTCTATCCTCCATGCACTGTGTGGAATTCGATCTTTAGGCACACCTCAAAGCTTAAAGGTTCTATTTCTGAAAATAGAACCTTCATGCACTCTTTTTAGGTATGCTTAAAGATCATAGAATTTTTTGC